AGGCTGCCCAGGGAATGGCTTCAAATCATGGCGTAGAGAATCCAGGAGCCATCAGCATAATTACGTCACACCACGCTGGCCTGCACCAGGACATTTAATTGGTTCTCCACCCAGGTCTCCCCAGGCCCAGCAGGAGGCGGATGTGGGCCCCCAAGCTCTGCCTTGGCTCCAGAGCCCCAGGGCGCTCCCATGCAGGCTGGGCCCTCAGGTGCTTATGCCAGCTCCTCTTCCCACCAGTCTTCTTGAGCTAGCACAGGGCTGCTCAATTAAAGATGCAGCCCCTGTCGCACTGACTCCTGCTCCGTGAGGAGGGACCCTCTGCGGGGTCCAGCCGTGTGCTGCTCCCCAAGCCCCATCAGGGGCTTTCAGCCTCCGTAGGGCTGCCAGCCTGGGCCGCCTGGTAGATACTAAGCAGGGAGGAGATGGTGCCCATGAGGCCCACCAGCCAAGGTGGGAAGCGGCCAGCCCACAGGACACCTGGTGGCAGCCAGTGCACTGCGTTGGCCAGGTCGGCCAGGTTGCTGAGCAGCGTCAGCACCTCCGACCGCATCTGCACCTCTGTGGCCCTCCGCTTGCTCCGGGGCAGTCGGCTGTGGGGACAGAGTGGACACAGGGATGAGGACAGCCCTGCCTAGGGATGGCCTGCTTTGCCCCCCACGGGGGCCCACAGCCTAGAATCCAGCCCTCTGTCTCCAAACTCCCTGAGCAGGAGCGTGGGGTGAACCATTAGGACAGCACAGGGGGTGACAGGGACCACTGTCCCCGGGAAGCTGACTCAGCCTGCAATGACCATGAAGGGTCAGCCCAGGAGGGCTTGCTTAGCAAGCCTCAGTTCCCCCATATGTAAAAGCTGCTACATCCCACCCCGAGCCCAAGATGAGGCCCTGCAACCCTGTGTACACATGCACGGACCCTCAGGGACGCGGCCGGGGCACCATCTGACCCCTCTGGGTGCCCAAGCCACCACACCTGGTAAAGGCAGCCGTGGGGCTCTGCAGCCTCTGCCTCAGCTTCAGCACCATCCACAGGGACCTACAACACCAGACACCAGGGACCAGTTGGGGAACGCCGGACACACTGGGGGCCAGGGGCAGCTCCTCAAGCAAAGTGCTCAGGGACTTGTGACTCACACAGACCAGAGCTGCCTGGCCTTGTCACAGATCCACTGGGTGGCGGATGGGGAGCCACAAGCCCACTCAAAGTGGCAGTTCCTGCCGGCCCCTGCCTGGAAGTCCCTGGGCACATGGGGAAGTCCTACAACTAGAGAGAGACACAGGGTGGGCTTCCTGATGAACACAGAAGGGGACATCAGACCCACACCTCCAGCCAGACATGGAGCTGTCCCCAGAACGGGTGCCCAGCCTCCCTGCTCCAGAGCTAGGAGGCTTCTCAGCTGCTGGATCGGGGACTGGGGGGTCCTAGCTCCTCTGTTTTGCGGGGAACCCAGCCCTTTCCCTCTTCTGTTGCATTTTTTTTTTTTTTTTTTTTTTTTTTTTTTTTTTTTTTTTTTTTTTTTTTTTTTTTTTTTTTTTTTTTTTTTTTTTTTTTTTTGAAACAGGGTCTGGCTGTGCAGTTCAGGCTGGCCTTGAGCTTACCCTGTAACTCAGGTTGGCCTCATGTTTGCAATGATCCTTCTGCCTCAGCCTCCCGAGTGCTGGAATTACAGGCAGGTGCCACAACACCCAGCTTGGGTTTTGCTGTTGTTTTTTACTTTTTGAGCCAGGGTTTTGCTAAGTCATTAAATTCTCCAGGCTGAGCTCAAATTTGCAAACCTCATGCCTCAGTGTCCCAGAGTGCTGGGATTCCCTGGCATGGCTCAGGGGCAGGGGCTTCTGAACAAGCCAACTCAGCAAATTTGCAAAGCTGAAGACACAAGGGAAAAAACCACTGCTGGGAAGTTCTACAAACTCATTTGGGGACACACGAGACCGATCAGGAAGCAGCTGACCTTTCCTCTGGGTGCTCTGCTGACAAAAGGCAGGCGGTTACCGGGGACCCAGGGCGAGGCCACCTCCCAGCTGCTGCGTCTCTTGGGGCCCTGGAGCTATTTCTTCCCCCTGGTTCTGCCCTCCCTGAGATGTGGCCATCTTAATCCGTCCTAGGACCGACGCTGTTTCCCATTCGGCCAGGGGGACAAAGTGAAGGTCACTGAGACGGGAGAAGGACAGGGGTTTTCTGGGGCCGGGGGTCACCAAGGGTCCTCACAAGAGGGAGGCGGAGCTTCAGAGTCTGAAGATAGAGGAACGAAGTCGGGCACGGTGGCTCACACCTGCCATGCCAGCACTGAGGACGCTGGGGCAGGGCTGAGCAAGCAGGCAGCCAGAAAAAAGAAAAAAAAAAAAGGAAGACAGGGCCCTGAATCGAGGGTACTCTAGGGGCTAGGATCTGCGGAACCCGGATCACCTCCCCCTATACCCCGCCGCCGCCCTGCCTCCAGGATGGACCGGCCCTGCACACGGGAGGCCTGTGCGGGGTTTCCCAGACTGTACCATGATACCACCTTCGGGAACATGCTGAAGCAGCGCTGCTTAAAGGTTCCGAGTGTGCGGTTACTCATTACTGGAAACGAGCAGCGAGGTCACAAAACCGGAAGACGGGGAGGAACGCCCAAGAGGCGGCCGACAGCCTCTGCGAGGTCACTCACCTGGCCACCCCCAGCAGCAAGGACAGGCCCCAGAGCGCGGTGCTCAGCGTCCACCAGCGGGCAGAATCCACGTGCAGGACCTTGGCGTCGGCGGCCCAGGCGATGTGCTCGCATGGATAGTAGAGCTGATCGGCTAGGTTGCCCAGCACAGACAAGCTGCGGACAAAGGCATCCTCCTCCTGCGGGGCCACGGGAGGGGCGGGCCCTGCGGTTGGAGCTCCGCACCGCTGGTTAGGACCAGGGGGCAGCAAGGCCCCTCCCCACCTCCATCCCTCGGCCAGATCGGGCCTGAGTCTGCTTTCCACAGCTAGGAATAGAGCAGCCCGAAGTGTTCTGCCTCACTAGCTCTGGGGTGGGCACCCGGCTCTACCATCTTGTTTTCTGAAGTTCCCCGGAATGCCCACTTATGGCGGGGCCAGAGCTCCAGGCCACAGAGCTGAGCCGTAGAGCACACATGAGCGCTGGGTCCTGCAGTGCCTGGGACACCTGCCCAAGCTGTTCCTCTTCTTCCCTCTGGTTGTCTGGTTTTGCAGCACTGGAGATTGGACCCAAGGCCCTCTGCAGTGAGCCATGCCAACCCGCCACCTCAGGCTCTCTACCCAGCAAGGCAGGGCTGGAGCTGCTTCCCCACCTCCCCTGCCCTTCTCAGAGCCCGCCTCTGGTCACAGGCAACGTGGTGGAGATCCTGTGCAGTGCAGCAGGCACCAGGCTGCTCCCTGCAGCACCGTGGTAACAGCAAAATGTGAGTTAGAGCACCTCCTGTTAATGCAGGGGCGTACTATGTGGACATCGAGAAGGGGCCCAGGCCAGGTGTGGTGGCACATGCCTGCAGTCCCAGCGCTTGGGAGGCTAAGGCAGGGGGATCTGCACAAGTCCAAGGCCAGCCTGGACAACACAGTGAGTTCAAGGTCAGCCTACACTGCACAGAGAGACCCTGTCTCAAAAAAAAAAAAATTCTTCTCCCCCAAAATGAAGGAGCTGGGCATGGTAGTACATGACTGCCATCCCAACAACATTGGAGGCACTAGGATCATCAATTTGAGGCCAGCCCTGAGCAATTTAGCAATGCCTTGTCTCAAATAAAATAACAAGGGGGCTGGTGAGATGGCTCAGTGGTCTAAAGCACCTACTTAGGACAAGCTTAGCAAAGCACAGGGACCACAGTTCGATCCCCCAGCACCACATGCCAGCCAGCCCCGCCCCCTGGTGGGCTGAGCTGGCCACACACACACACACAAAAAAAAATATTTAAAAAAAAATAAATAAAATAACAAGGGCTGGGAGTGTAGCTCTGTGGTAGAGCTCTGGGCTCAATCTCGGGGGCTGGGGGGCTCTGTGCACACTGACGAGAGTGAGCTCCTTGCCGTACTGCTTGGCTGAGAAAAGGGGCAGAAGGGCGTGCAGAGGCGGCAGCTCCTTATGTCAGCACCAGTACCTGCCCAGGGCGGGGTGGGGGGGCAGCAGGAAATACCACCACCACAGCCACCTCTGAGGAGGACCCAGGCCGAGAGGCCAAGAGAGAGACTCTACTATCCACTCTCAGGATGTGCAAACATGTTGACTTTATTTCTTAAATTAAGTCAAGGGCCAGGGATGCAGCCCCGTGGCAGAGCCCTTGCCCAGCATGCACAAAGCCCTGGGTTTGGGAAGGGGGATCTAACGCAGCGGCACAGTGTCTGCCTGGCAAGTGCATGGTTCTGAGTGTGATTCTCAGGCACCTCCAACTACGCCCTCGGTTTGATCCCTTGCACTGCAAAACTAAGTATATAAATTACATATATAGCCGGGGAGATAGCCCAGTGGTAAGTGCCTGCCTGACAAGCACAAGGGCCTGAGTTTGATCCCTGGCACAAAAAATAAATAAATAAAATATATATAATATATAATGCAAATATAACACAAAATGATACATAAATTAAATCAAAATGAGAACATCTGATCATCTCAAGATCTCAACAAAAATCAAAAGATAATAACTGTCCAACAGGGAATACTTGGAGATAAGCCCAGAAAACACAGACCGAGGCCCACAGCTTCGAGGCTTCCTGCACCCCTCTCCCTACACCCAAGCACCCCATTACCTCTGTCCCCAGGCCATACTGCTTTGTGTACAGAAACATGGCCAGGTCATCAAAGAGTCGCAGGACAGTCCTGCAGTGGCTCAGCTGGGCCGACACTGCCAGCAGGCGCGTCCCCACTTCTGACCTGGCAGGACATTGTTCAAGCAGGACCCCGCCAACCAGCTGGCAGCAGTACCCCAGTGTTCGGATCTGTGGGAAATCGGAAGCAATCAACTAAGGTGCAGTCCTGACCCAGGTGCCTGTGCAGAAGATTCTAAATCAACAAGCTTCCAACAGAAACTGGCAGTTTGAAAAGGTATTTCCAAGCTGGAGGCAGTGGTGCACACGTGGGATCCCCATTATTGTAGGAGGCTGAGGCAAGAGGATGGCAAAGCTTGAGCCCAGTCCGGACAAAACAGAGACTGAGTGAGACCCTGTCATGGAAGAAAAAAGAAAAAAGACCAAGGAGGTAGCTCAGTGCAAAAGCCCTGAGTTACCCCAGCGCTGCAATAAATCAATCAAGACACTTGCAGATGGGACAAATGGGGAGTGTGACACTGTCCAAATGTGCAGAGTCTAACAAGAGTCCTGGCACACGGGTGAGGTGGTGCATGCCTGTCATCCCAGCACTCGGGAGGCTGAGCAGGCAAATCGTTCCAAGTTCAAGACCAGCCTGGGCTACAAAGTGAGCTCAAGGCCAGCCTGAACTGCATAGCAAGACTCTGCCTCAGAAAAACCAAAGAGGAAAAAAGAAAAAGAAAAACCAGAGAGAGAGAGAGAGAGAGAGAGAGAGAGAGAGAGAGAGAGAGAGAGAGAGAGAGAGAAAATGAGTGTGTCCCAGCACAGGCCGCAGGAGGAGGTGGAAATGTAGATTTGCATCAACCTGCTTGGGCCAAAGCCCTGAGCTGGGCTGTAATGGTGGGAGCAGCAGATCCGGCCCCAGCCCACCAGGCAGAGCAGCGATTTGAGTTGTTTTGGTGACAAGAAACCTGTTCAAAAGGTCATGAGGCATTGGGAAATGGATGCAGTTCAACTGCCTTCTCATTTCCATTTTCATCTGCTCCTCAAAAAGCGCGTCTCTCATATATCTCCTCTCACTTGTAATCCTCTCCAGATCCACGACAATGCCGGAACACTGGCCGATCAAGGTGAGGGAGTGAAAGCCTTACTGCGGATGCTCACCTCGGGGATCTGGCTGGCACTTACACGCCGACCAGCGCACTCACGTCCCCAGCTACGGCTCACGTGCGCCCTGGTAAGGTGCTGGTCAGGGCGCATTAGGAGTCCGACCTCAGGGACCAGAACGGAATAACCTTCATGCTCAACCTCAGGGGATTTGGTAGAATCTGAATGTCCAGCCGTAGGGGGAGCCCTGCGACCTGCCAAAGCCCTTTATAGGGCAGCGCTGGGAGCCCCCCAGGCGGCGGGGTGGCCAGATCCCGACTGTCAAGCGCGGACACCCGGTCGGGAAGCGGGACTCCTGCCGGGCTGGGTCGGCAGGGACCACCTCGGTGTCCAACGCTGGGCACGGACCTGCAGCCCAGCTCGGGCAGCGCCCCAGCGACGCGGGAGCCCTGAGCGGGATACCGCCCCTCTCTGGCCTCTGTTTCCTCATCTCTGAGCTCTGCGCGCCAACTCCAGGACTCCGGCCCCGCTCGGCCCCAGCCTCACCAGGCGGTCCCGACCCCTGTACGACTCCAGCGCCGACGCCAGGCCGCTCGCTACCGCCATGGCAACTCCGCCGTGACGTCACCGGGACGGGGCGCGCGCGCCAGGGGGCGGGGCCAGGCTGCGTTCTGCGCAGGCGCCGAGGCCGCCCTTTGTCCCCAGAGGCCGCCCTGTTGGCGGGGGCGCGCGCGGGGGCGGGGCGGGGTGAGCCCGGGAGCTTGTTGCGGCCGGTTGGGCAACGCCGAAGTGTGTCAGAGGTACGCGAGGCTCGCGCTGCGTCGCTAGCTAGCTGGAGCTGCGGCGGGGCGAGCCCGCCTTCTGTGCCCGGGAATGCAACGGAAAATAAAGACCTTTAAATGTATAAAGGCAGGCATGGTGGCGCGTGCCTGTCATCCCAGCACTCGGGAGGCAGAAGCAGGAGGATGGTTGCGAGTTCGAGGCCAGCCTGGCCTACTAACGAGAACCCTGCCTTATCTGCAACTATAGTTGTAGATATGTGTGTAGGTATGGCTACTTAGTTACAGTAGTATTTAGGTTGAGCCAAGGGCTTTCACACTGAGCTCCATCCCCATACTTGTTTTTATTTTTTCATTTCTTTTTAATATCTTGGTCCTTGCAACTTATTTATTTATTTTGGCGGAACCAGGGATTGAACGCAGGTCTTTATGCTTGCCAGGCAAGCGCTTATTCTACTGAGCCATCTCCCTGGCCCTGTTTTTTCATTTTGAAACTGGGTCTCACTAAATCGCCAACTTCCAGCCTTCATTGGGCTGGAATCTGTACTCCTCCTGCCTCAGCCGCCCAGAGTCCTGGGATGACAAGCATGTGCCACCATACGTGGCTTGTGTGTTTGTGTATGTGGCATACACTGTATTATATGCAACATGTATTGTGTGTATATGAGTATATGTGAGAATATCTATATCTATATTTCTCTCTCTCTCTCTCTCTCTCTCTCT